GACTTCAAAGCATCCTAACGTAAACAAAATTTCAAAGTCTGTTATATAATACGCTCGATCGTGTCTTCGCTCCGACTTGCTTCGATACAAAAACAAAGGCCGCTTTTTTGTGTATCAAGATGCTGAGCAGCGCATCAGCCGTAATTCTTCAGTCATTAATTGTAGAGCAGAGCAAACTGGGTGATTGATTTGCGACCAGGCCTGCATATGGATTCGCCAAGGTTGTAAGCCAGTGAGCCCGTGCATTTTTGTTAAGCGGTCATATTTGAAAGTGTAAATAAAGGAAAGGGAAAACCCGCAGCTCTCCTTTCACTCAGACAAACAGTTCAAGTCGTGTTAAATTTATTTACATAACTAAACAAAATGATTATAGGATTAAACCTTTAAGAATTGAATGCTCATAWGAAACATTTTCCACCTTAAATACACACGTGTTTTTCAGATGGGAATTTAGTCGATCTTTTTTCACGATGGAATTTTGTTTTGAGTCGTTTCRACATAAACAGAAGCTATCAAGCCATTACACGAAAAACCCCAGTCACCGTTCTAGCTCTCGTTGTAAGGTCAAAGCTAGTAAATGTGTAACTGACCTGTTACATAACGTCAAATCGTCGAGCACGCTTGCGGCTTATTGCCAACGGATGAACTACGACAGTTGTTTGTACCACAAATAACAAACGAATACGTGGACCTAACTAAGCTGCTCTAGCTCTTCCAGTGATGTTGTAGATACCTCAAAGCTTAGAGGAAACAAGAGCTAAGAAAAAGGATTTGAAATGGTTCCTCCTAAGATACTTTGTACTTGAACATCGCTTCTGACGACCTTCTGAAGTCTTCGTGAAGTCGGCCATTGCTTCGCATGCAATGGAGAACCCGCGTAGAATACAGAACAATTATTTTTATCAGGGAGGGGAGTCTCGTGGTATTAAAGAAAAAAATATTTGGTATTTCATTTTTAAGTTAAAATTCTATTGCTATAACGATAAATATTTTATTGACATTTAAAAGCTATTTTATAAAGATTTTCAATTTCTCTTTGCGTTTTAACTTCGATTTTTCGGATA